AATCAAAGCAGAATATACATTTCCCAATTCATTCATGAGGCCAGCATTACACTATTACCAAAAACCATACAAGGACATAAGAAAGGAAAACTAAGACTAATATTCCCATAAACATATATGCAAAAATATATTGACAAAATATTAGCAAATAAAACCCAACATACATAAAATACTACATCATAACCAAATGCAATTTATTCCAGGTATGCAAAGCTGGTTCAACATTCAAAAATCAACTAATGCAATCTAACATATATTACAGACTTAAGTAAAAGTACACCATCATATCTATACACACAGAAAAAGCACTTGACAAAAACCAAAACCAATGCATGACAAAAATTCTCAGCAAACTAGGAATATAGGGTGAGTTCTTCAACATGATAAAGAATGTTCATAGGGTGCCTGGGTGACTCAGTTAATTGAGTATCCAACTCTTGATTTCAGCTCAGGTCATGATCTCAGGGTCATGAGATTAAGCACCCCCTGCCCACCCCAAACAGGTTCTGCTTGAGTTTCTCTCCCTCTGCCCCTCTCCCTGCTCGCACTCAAGCATATGCTCTTGCTCTCTCTCAAATAAAGTTTTTTTTTAAAAGAGAATATCCACCAAAAAAACCTACATTTAGCATCATTCTTTTTTTTTTTTTAAAGATTTTATTTATTTGACAGAGAGAGATCACAAGTAGACAGAGAGGCAGGCAGAGAGAGAGAGAGAGGAGGAAGCAGGCTTCTTGCTGAGCAGAGAGCCCGATGTGGGACTCGATCCCAGGACCCTGAGATCATGACCTGAGCCGAAGGCAGCGGCTTAACCCACTGAGACACCCAGGAGCCCCTTTAGCATCATTCTTAATTGTGAGAAACCAGATGCTTTCTTGCTAAGATCAGGAATGAGGCAAGGATGTCCATCCTCATCACTCCTATTTGACTTCAAACTGAAAGTCTTAGATAATACAGTAAGACAAGAAAAGGAAATGAAAGGACTACAGATTGGAAAGGAGGAAATAAAACTTCTTTTGCCTGCAAATGATATGCTTGCCTACACAGAGAATCCCAAAGAATCTTTATCAACAATAATAACACTAGTGATTGTAACAGAATACAAGGTATATAAAAGTCATTTGCTTTCTTGTATACTAGCAATGAAAAATTAGAATTTGAAATTAAAAATGCGTTTGTATTAGCACCAAAATATATGAATTACGTATCAATCTAAAAACTATGTATAAGAGTTACACAACAAAAAGTAAAGAACTCTGATGAAGAAATCAAAGATGTACATAAATGGAGAAATATTCCAGGTACATGGAGAGGAAGACTGAATATTATCAAGATGTTATTTCTTTGCAAATTGCTCCATACACTAAAATCTCAGCAAATTATTTTATAGATATCGAAAAAATTGATTCTGAAGTTTATATGGAAAAACAGAAGACCCAGAACATTCAATACAACATTAAAAAAAGAACAATTCAGAGGACTGACATTACTCAGCTTTAAGACTTACTTTAATGCTTCAGTATTTAACACATTGTTTTACTGGCAAATAGACAGATAGTGGAATAAAGACAGAGAGTCCAGAAATAGATCCACATAAAAACAAATAATCTTTGAAAAAGGAGCAAAAGCAATTCGATAGAGAATGTAGAGTCTTTTTAACAAATGATCCTAAAACAACTGAATATCCACATGTTTAAAAAAAAATGAATTCAGACATTGACCTCATTCTTTCCCAAAAATTAGACTGGATAATAGACCTAAATGTAAAATGTGAAACTATAAAACTCCTAGAAAACAATATAGGAGGAAATCTAGTTGATCTTAGGTTTAGGAAACTTATTGTTGTTATTTTAGATGGAACACCAAAGAACAGTCCATGAAAGAAACACTGATAAATTGGACTTCATTAAGATTTTAAAAAAGCAAACAAACTTCTTCTCTGTGCAAGACACTTTTGAAACACTCAAAAGGTAGGCCATCAGTTGGAAGGAAATATTTTCAAAACACGTATCTGATAAAGGACTAGTATCCAAAATATACAAAGAATTTGCAAAACTCAATCATAAGAAAACCACTCAAAAAATTGGCAAACGATCTGGACACCTCACCAAGAAAGATAAACAGATGGTAAGTAAGCATATGAAAAGATGCTGAACATCATATGTGATTAAGGAATTGCAAATTAAAACAAGATACCACTACACACCTATTTAAAAATGGCTAAGATCCAAAACACTGACAATAGCAAATGCTGGCAAGAATGTGAAGCAATGGGAACTCTCACTTATTGCTGGTAGGAATGCAAAATGATACAGCCACTTTGGAAGACAGTTTGGCAGTTTCTTACAAAACTAAACAAACTCTTACCATAAAATACAGGAATGTGCCCACTGGTATTTTTCCAAATGAGCTGCAAACGTATGTTCACATAAAAATCTGTAGATGAATGTATATAGAAACTTTTTAACTACCAGAACTTGGAAGCAACCAAGATGTCCTTCAATAGGTGAATGGATAAGAAATTGTGATATAGCCATGCAACAGAATACTGTTGGAGGAGGTAATCAAGAGGGTGTGACTTCTAGTTGACCCTTGGTCTGGACCTGGGCAACTGGAGGCGCCTCACTCCCTCCACCGTCCTGGGAATATACGCTCTGTACACAGTGGGAACTTCTCTAAGGACGGAGCCTCAAGGGAGTAATGTGTTTTGAGACCATCTGGCGGCGGCGGGCGGGGGGGGGGGAGTAATATGTGACTGGCCCCATCTAAGGCCTCTATATAAACTTTTAAGATGTGGCAGGTGGGTTCATAGATCTACTCATTTTTGCAGCCACCTAAAACAAGCCTTGTAAGTAAGTTCTCTTGCTTATTAAAATGCCACCTACCAATCTGGAGTGGTCTGCCTCTTTCTTTGGTCTCTTCTTGCTCTGTGTATATAGGGTAGAGATGGGGGGTAGTTTGTAAACCAACAAACACTATTCAGTGATAAAAAGAACTGAGCTATCAAGCCATGGATATACATGGAGGAACTTAAATACCTATTGTTAAGCCAAGGAAGCCAATAAGAAAAAGGCTAACTACTGTATCATCCCAACTATATAACACTCTGAAAAAGATAAAACTATGCAACCAGCAAAAAGATCATTGAATGTCAGGGAACAGAACTGGGGAGAGGAAAGTTGGGATCAACGGGTGAAGCAGACTTTGGGGCAGTGAAACTATTCTGTACGATACAGTGACAGTGGATACATATCATTATACATTTGTCCAAACCCATAGAATGTGCAATTCAGTGAATTCTAATGTAGACTGTGGACTATAGTACTATATATATATTTTTTAAAGATTTTATTTATCTATTTGATAGAGATTACAAAGTAGTCAGAGAGGCAGGCAGAGAGAGAGGAGGAAGCAGGCTCCCCGCTGAGCAGAGAGCCCGATGTGGGGCTCGATCCCAGGACCCTGGGATCATGACCTGAGCCGAAGGCAGAGGCTTAACCCACTGAGCCACCCAGGCACCCCTATAGTACTATATTGATATGGCTCATGAATTGTAGCAAATACACTACACTGATGCAAGACGTATGAAACTGTATGTGTGGAGGGGAGTGATGAGAAGATATATGGAAACTGTATTTTCCACTCAATTTTTTTGTAAATCTAAAACCACTCTAAAAAATAAAGTCACCGAATTAAAAAACAAAACACGGCAAAAACAAGCAGCCTAAAAATGAAAACATTCTCTGGAATATTAAGGAAATGGTGTCTACAGAATCCCACACACACATTCAAACAATAATCACCCAAATCACCTGCTTAATCTTTTGGGCTTCACAGGGGCAGGCAATAAAAGGCAGAAAAGCACTTTTCAATGGACTTGCCAATTGCATATGGCATAAATCAGAATGAAGCAGCAAAGACAAAATATGCTCATTTGTGAAGTCAAAAGAAAAAAAACAAAACAAAACAAAACAAAATCACCACATTACTTTGTTCTTCAATAGCAGAGGTAGTCTTTTGAGCCTCTCCCAGCCAGCTGTGGATTCCAAGAAAACAGTAACTGATGATAATGATTAATTCTAGGGATGAGCGTTTCACTGTTTTATAATTTAAAGCACTAGTGAAAGGCATTTAAATTTGGAAAAAACTTGGTAATATACCAGTGCTTCCGTTTAAGACCTTCTGGGGAAAATTAACCACAACTTTGAGCATATTTCTATATACTTATGTCATGATTTTTTTGGTACCAGAATTTAAAGTAAAACAGTTACAAATAATTTTTAAGCCTAAACTATCCTTTTTAAAAGTTGTAGTCCATTTCCTTTACAGATTTGTAATTCTGTTTATTACTGAGCAAGGTAATACTGTTTTTTCAAATCAATGCCATAGAAAGCATTCATTTGGATGGATTAACTTACTGCCATTATTTCTTAAGAACTAATAATGTATAATTATTAAATAAGTAATAATTATTACTTAGTGCCATTAAGTTAATGGATTAACTTTCTGCCATTATTACTACGATAAAAAAATCTACAACTAAAATGTTAGGAGAACCTTCTTAATCATGAAAACAAAAGTAAACAAAAACAAATTTTTAAAAAAATGAAAGTTGTGAAAATGATAAATGTTTGCCTAACTTACATACCAAGTTTGAGAGTCAACTGGAATTTTTACTATTATAAAGAAGGGCTCAGTCTTTTATTACTGTAGTAACAGTAGAAACCTATTTTAATTGGGTGATATTTTTATAAACCGTGGTAATATATGCCCTATCCTATATAGTTGCACTACTAACTATGGAAGAATTCAGAGCCCTGCCTGGTCTATACTCTGAAATAGTCATAACTGAAACTGAAAACTTCTCCGATGAAATTTCTAAAAATCCAAATCCCAACCTGGTTATGATGTTCCCTTCATAGGGACTCATAAAGAAACCTTATGAAATTACGTTGTAAAATATCTAGGTGAATCGAAGATAAAAACACCGAAGACCTCTTTACCTTAACATGGCATTTTTCCCGTCACTTCTGGTGCACCAGACCTGCCGGGTTTGATAACCTATGTCTAAGTCCCAGGGCTTGGAGAGGTGATGTGGCTTGTAACTTTGATGTCGAAAGGTGACTCGCTCCTTTGAATCAGAGCTAAAATCCAGAACAGCTCTTCCACTTAGGTTAATTTCTTTAAGATGAGGCAGTCTACATTTACTCCACGGTCCTACTTTAAGGCTGAAAGTATATTCCTCTTCGCCAAGAGGACAGGAAATGGGAGTGTCACAGGCCCTGGATTCGGTCAGGTTGGGGCACTGAGACCCGCCATACAGAGGGGGAGCGATGGCCGCCCGCGTCCTGTGCTGCAGTTGCTTCTCACAACCCTTGCTGCACTCGGACCACGGTGAGAACTCCGATACGATACAATCCCGGGGGCAGGGAATGAGGCAAGCTTGTTCTGTGGGCGGCTGAGGGGCAAAGTGTTCACATATTTCATTTACGACCCTGGTTCTGTTCAACTTCTGAACGCAGCGCACGGTCCGGTCCTGCAGCCCGTGCTGCGCAGTCACGCACTCCGCGGTCCGAGGCGGGGCTTGGCCGGCGCTGGCGGGAACGAGCACGCAAGGGTGCCAGTCGGAGACCTCCCACTGGAAGAGGTCGCTGTGCCAGTCACACACCCGGAAGCAACTTCTTTCCTTGGGAGGCCTGTTGTTCTCGTCGCAGTTAGATAGGGGACTCGTCCACCCTTCCACGTGGAAACACCACAGCGCGCGACTCTGCACTCCTCCCGGTCCACAGTCGCCCGAACACCTTCCCCAGGGGCCTACGGGCCAAAGACAAGGGCGTCAATTACTCAGAGGTTCCATGCCGCCATCCACACAAAGATGGGTCAATTTGAACACTTCCCAACACGACCAGTATGAAATTACGGATTTGAGTGGACAATATAATCTGGTTGTTAAGAGCGTGGACGCCGCATCAGTTTGCCTTTGTTACAATCCCCACTCGGTCTCTAACCAGCAATGTCAACTTGGACCAGTTACTTCCACTTTCTAAGCCTTCGTTTCCTTAACGACCTAAGAGACAGAATAAAAGCACTAACTTGCAGAGCTGTTCTGAGGATCAGTGGTACAAGGGGGTGCCAATACACACTTAATAAATGATTGGTATCATTGTAATCATTATGTTTTAAAGCCTATATATCTAACTCAATATTAATACTTCCTAGTTAGACAATGTTTCAATCTAAAAGAAAAGCCCAGGGGCGCCTGTGTGGCTCAGTGGGTTTTAAAGCCTCTGCCTTCGGCTTAGGTCATGATCCCATGGTCCTGGAATCGAGCCCCACATTGGGCTCTCTGCTCAGCGGGGAGCCTGCTTCCCCCTCTCTGTCTGCCTCTGCCTACTCTCTGTCAAATAAATAAATAAAATCTTTGGAAAAAAAATAATAATAAAAGAAAAGCCCTAAACCCAGGATTTTAATAAAGTAGAATTTTTCATGTTTCCAAGCCTTCAGCTCAATACAGCAGGTGGCTCAGAAGAGAACTATGTTTTAAAAAAATGACCTGCCAAAGTATCTTAAATATACTTTCATTTGCTAAATAGGTGTCCCCGCTTTGGGATTTTGCTTGCAGAATGAATTGCATGAAAAAGAAAATATCTGATGGGAAAGGATACACTAAAAGCAGCAGCAGCACCACTGAACTGCCTATGGAAATTCTGCCCCTCTGACCCCTGAAATATACCCACTTTGATTTCTCACAGGTATTAACTCTGGGTCAAGCTTCCAACATTAGTTTGTAATACACCAAACCTTTTAATTAATGAATATGTTTTCATGGGAAAGAGTCCCACAAAGAAAGGGACAGATAAAAGAACATCCATTGATGTTTCTCACAGTTTTGCAACTAATCCATAGACCTATCAGGCAACCTTATCCAGAAGGCTGACGATACGTTTCATAAGGATGGCAAGGTATCACATTTTGTGTCAATGGGAAAAGAATACTTTCCTCTCTTTCATTTTACTTAATTGAAACATGAACCTGAGAAAACTTTACCAGCTTAACCATGTAACCTTTGCCCCTGCACTAGGATGTGATAATAAAGGCAATTCACATCCTGAGAAATATTTTAATTTACCTAGGTAAGAGAAAGAAGGTGCAGTCTTTCTCTCTTCCCCCAAACCTGATCAAACACCCAAAACTTCATGAAATGTGTTTTTATGCACATCCATAATATCTCTAGGAACAGGAAATGTGTATGGAGTACATCCCACTTAGGAAGAGACATATACATCCCCAGAGATACAGGTATCTGAAGTTGTGGTCAATATGCTGCAGTGAGGATCTCTCACTTTTAAAGCACAGGACAAGTGTTCTTCCTCACAGTGTTGTCTGGATATGTAGACCTACTTGCCAATGGTTTTCTGTCACTTTATGAGTGAGATTAACATAGAAAATACCCTCATGTCCTTTCAGTGTCCCCATCCTGGAGTCTCTTCTTGCTGAATTAGACAGAGGAGTTTCATTGAAGTAAGTCACCTTTTACCCATAGAAATGCCCTTGACGCCTGGGTGGCTGTCGTTGAGCGTCTGCCTTCCGCTCAGGTCATGATCCCAGGGTCCTGGGTTGAGCCCTGCATCAGGCTCCCTGCTCAGTGGGAAGCCTGCTTCTCCCTCTCCCACTCCCCCTGCTTGTGTTCCCTCTCTCACTGTCTCTCTCTCTCTCTCTCTCTCTGTCAAATAAATAAATAAATTTTTAAAAAAAGAAAGAGAAAGAAAGAAAGAAAGGAAGGAAGGAAGGAAGGAAGGAAGGAAGGAAGGAAGGAAGGAAGGAAG